ATCCACCTTGCCCTAGTTTGTTACTGAAGGAATTGGTCATTCTCTTTATTTCTGAGTACTTGTATCTCTTTGGGACCAAGGAACCATATCGAAGTAGGAAGCCTTCGACACCCTGCTCATTCTTTTCATGGTGTTTTCTGGAACGTAGAATATTGACACAAAGGAATAGGCATAGCAGAGTGAAGCATCCAAGTGTAAGACCAGCGACTGTCCCTGCAGAGTCACGGAAAGCATAAGAGATACAAATTACCTGCTTAATTCTCTCAGAATATATTATTTCTAAAGTTGTGTACCTTTCAGTTTCTTCTTCTTCTTCTTCCCAAGGCTGCCTGCATTGACTAACAAATGGTGATATTAGAACACATTCTAACCTACTCTGCATCATAGTGAAATGAGAAACTGTTGTCTGAAGCATAACGTAGGACGATTAGATTGAAGAAAAGCCAAGTCTTTTATATGATTCAGTCGTCGTTACTGTACAGTTGAAAATGTTGGTCAAACAGTTCAAGTTAAAATAAATGATCTTAATAATGGCTTAATCTGGTCAAGTCATCCATCCTTTAACGATAAGAGATTTGAAACCCTCAACAAAACGCGTATTGAGTTTATTAACTAGTCAAAAACTAGTTTGAAGACTGGCTTGTGGGGGGCCATTTCTCCAAAAGATCAGCCAGTCAGTCAGCAAACACTCGCAGAAGGTGAAGAACGAAGTTTCATACACCAACCACTAGACCTACTGTGTTTCTTCTAGTTTCTCTGGTACTCCTACCGATCTCTTGATTACTGGTGAAAGGCCCAAATTATAATGGATCGACAGAAGGTGCAGATCTGAACGAAATAGAACGAGAATCAGAGTGGTCGAAGATAAGTAAACGTACCTGAACAATTGTACGATGCTGTTCTTCCGTCGGAGCAGAAGCAGGCGAAAACCGAAGTTGATCTACTGTTCTTGTTCAACCCACACCACCCACCGGATTGAAGGTTTATAATGAATATGATTTTTTTTCTTCTTCTTTAATGAAGGTTTATAATGAAAGGTTCATTGAAGTAGCTTGCAACGGGGCTTGGCCAGAAAACTTAAAATAGTTTATTATTATTATTATTATTATTATTTAGAAAGGATGGTTTTTAAAAGGAGAAGAGGCGTGGGAAGACGACGGAGAGAAGGGAGACGTGGTGAAATAAGAACCCTGAAAGGTGTGGATCATTAAATCACTGGGCGTCCCATTAACCCTTGTCCTATCTCAAGGTACACTTAATAACATCAGCTAAAACAGCGGGATAGCGTGTGATCGCCGCTGCCTGCGGTCCGTCTGTCGAGGGAAGCAAAACAGCGGCAGAAGAAGCCAAAAGGAGGGGTCGCGACTTGCGATGACGGAAGGGTGCATTCGAGCAGCGGTCGACGCTATCCATTCCACCCCCACTAAGGCCGTCGTCTACCTCTCCGGCGGCGCTTCCCAGGTCCTTCATCCTCCCTCCTCCTCCTCCCCCTCTCTCTATATTTCTTTCTTCCTTTCTTGATTTTGATCCCCGATCATCGGAAGAAGAGGGGGGAGAGAGAGAGAGAGAGAGACTGATTGGATGTTGGTAATGTAACAGGCTCTCGGATGGCTGATGTCCCTCCCGGGGGCGTCCAACACGATTCTTGAAGTCGTCGTCCCCTACTCCAAGAATTCCATGACCCAATTGCTCGGCAAGGTACGCCTCCTCAATCCAGCCTGTTCTTTACATTCCTTCTTCTCTTTTTTGATGTTTATAATCATGAGGAAATCAGGGGAAGATTATAATTAAGTAGGGCATCATTTGTGAATCTTATATGAATTGGTCTTAGAAATTGTCGTTGGACGTCCTTGATTAATGTCTCATACAGGCAAGATTATAATTAAGTAGAGCGTCATTTGTGAATCCTATATGAATTGGTCTTAGAAATTGTCGTTGGACGTCCTTGATTAATGTCTCATAGAGGCATGCTTCGATATAGAGGGACTGTCGGGGATGTGTGGAGACTCTTTAGAAGATATACTCATATCGTAGAGTGATGATGTTGCCGAGTGGATGTGCTTTGATGTAACGTGAACATATAATTGAGATCTTAATTGGATGAAGGTTGGAGTAGTTCAGTAAGTCACAATTATTTGGGGTTGGCTACATAGATCTTTTGCTGTCATTAAAAAATAAATATAAAGATAACAAAATAGGTTGCTGAAAAGTCTGATAACTACACATGGGACCAGATGAGTGAGATAACCCTTCTGTTTTTGTATTTGTCCTTCTAGCCATTCTTCAATTTTTTTGGATTCCTTTGTTTTGATGGAATTGGTTGTTATAAAGCTATTTTTTTAACCAGCATATGATTTGAGTTGTGTCGCTTTGGACTTAAAATCATGTCTCATAAATGGAGTTTTTTTCTTCCATCAATGCAACATAGGAAACTGTAGCCCGATATAGGAAACTCTAGCAACACCCATAGTGATATAGGACAAGTATATCTCATACTAAATGTTTAATCTTGTGGCCACAATTCCACAATATAGCGTGAGGTATATTGAAAGGCAGTTGTTTGAATGATTAGGAAGAGTCAACCTTGATGATCACCTCTTAGGGTACAAACTTAGTAAGATATATCAAGATATAAGCACAAGTAGGTTTACTCCCTTCCCCTAGAAAGGTAATGTCATCAATTTTTTAGAGTTTCTCCCAGGAGGCCAGACATTTAGAGTAGGTTATTTGGTTTGATAAACTCAAGCGGTATTCTAGAGAATTGACCCTGGTAGGAGATGCTATGAGCCTATGACCCTTTTCTCTGAAGTATGAAAGTTCTCTTTCTAGGGAAATAAAGAAAGTTCTTTACCCCTTAAAAAAATTGTGAACTCCCAATTACAATCTTCATTCTATCCACATCCAAATTGAATAGGAAGCCAAAATAATAAAATTAAAAAATATCAACAATAAGATAAGCCAAACCTGATGACATTTGTTTTCAAAATTAGTAATGTATATGTTTACTACCAATAAAGCCATATGATTTACAATTATTGAATAAATTACTTTTTTTTAAAGCACATCTAAGTTGATATTGCATTTGGTTAAAATGATTGAATTTTTTATTATTATTGTATTTTACTATCATATTATTTGTTAGATTTGAAATGCTATGTAAGGACTTGCTTATTGAAAAGATATGCTAACATATTATTTTAAGTGGCTTTCAAGTTTGGCCATGATCTGGGCTCTACTAATGAGGATTATATATTGATTATAAGTTATAAAGCTAGTTTTTTGTACCCTAATACATGGATAAATGTGTTATCTACACCAAGGTTTGACTTACCAGACTGAGCCAGTGTGCCGGTCGATCCGTGCCGCTCTGTATTGGTATACCAACATGGTACGCCGGTGTGTACCGGTGTTTCGATGAGGAAGAAAAAGATGTTGAAGAGAAAGGTCCGGTGGAGGAACAGAGGAGGAAGAAGGATGAATAAGAAGAAAAAAACAGGAGGAGAAGAAGTGCAGCGGTACCTGGGAAGCAGCGGCAGCAGCGGCAGCGTTGAAGGGAAGCAGCATCATCGCAGCGACAAAGAGGCAACGCCACTGCAGCATCGCAATGGTGAAGCGACAAGAGGTAGCAACGTTACAGTGGCGAAGAGGTAGCGTCGCTGCAGCATCACAGTGGCGAAGCGGTGAAGAAGCAACTCCGTGACTTCGTATGCGAGAAGAGCCCTAATCTGCCTTTCTTTTAATGCTGAAATGGACTAGGGCCCACCACTTTTTGATTTTTTTATTATTTTAATTCAGACTGCCCGAATCGAGGTGGTCAATGTATTGGTCCACGCTCAGACCGGTATGTACCGCACAAATCATACCATTTCGTGTGGTACAGCAATCCTGATCTACATTACGAGGGTGAAACATAATTTTGACTCTTGTCAGGGAGATACAACATTGCTACAGTCATTACTATTCTGACTTCTGTTCTGTCA